TCGCTGGATCAACCCTCGGCTTATAAGAGCTGTTGGACAGGAGTTTTTTACTCGTTGCAGCAGTTCATCGAACGGTGGAGCATGGCTCCACTCAGGGAGACGCTGAGGCAGCAAAAGCTGAATGGCTCACCATGCGAAGCTGTTCCCAAAGTGCTAACCAAAACAAGCTACGGTGCTAACGCAGTTGAGCGGCGTCACTCGGCAGCCCTCTGAGTTCCTTCTTCTAGCCAAAAGGCTACGACTCGGAAAGCAGGCGACCAGACTCGTCGCGGGTAACTCTTGCAGAGCAGGCAGTTGTAAGGGGGGGGAGAGGGGGGCAGAGATGCTGGTTCCATTCGACCATGCTAGCCTTGAAGATCTTATCAGGTGAATCCTATTTTCGAAAAAAATAAAATAAATAAGGTAAATCCTATTTTCCAAAAAAATAAAAATTTCAGCTGGAACCTCACCTGTTCTTATCGTATGGATGGCCTTATGAAACGTTTCTCGTAGAGCAGCTTTCTCATCACCGTAGTTTTCAGGCCATGTTTGAATGATGAACACATTCATTACTACTAGGACCATCAATGACAGATCGAATGGGGCTCTGTAATAGCACTATTTGCATTGGAAGAAGAATCCGTTCCAGAGGGATTAGAGCCTCACTAAAGCTCAAAAGCGCAAACGAACTCACACGTATCCGTAGGCATCAGCGACAACTTGGGCGGCCACCCCTGATAAGATGGCAATCAGCGAGTTCCCCAGCGCTGCATGAGAAAACACCGTTCCCAGAAGGTTCTCAGAGAAGCCTCGCTAAAGAAATATGACTATTTGAAGTTTTATGTTTTATTGATTACTTTATTGTGTTAGTTGGGAGGTTTCCGCGGCGATCTGGAAAAAATGACATTGCAGGCAGCATCGCGTGCGCGACATTCGCACCAGATCTAATTGATCCAACGCGTATATGTTATAATATATCCCACGAGATGGTCAGGCATACTATCCAGTCTAAGCGGCCTGCTGCGGCGCGGTTTTCCTAATGGATGCTCCTGCGATGGTCGCCAAAAATGTTGGCAAAATCGCGCGAGCGTGAAATCAATACTGTACTACAGCATAGAGATTTCCACATTCAAAGCTCTAAATCAATAATTATAGGTTTTCAATCACCTTATTATGTTCGTAGACCAACCAACTTTCAAATGCCGAGTATAGAATGCTGGTGGCGATTCCGCCAAGAAATCGGCCCACCATCAGTACTTCCATGCTGGCAAAATGTTTCGTAATGCAAGAACATCCATATAATATCCCGTAGACCACGCAGTTGTTCCGCCGACCACTGAAATCTTCATTGGGTACTGAAGTGTTCTAAGAAAGGAGGTAGGACGAGTACTCACTTACAACTTATCGGCGAATGATCCAATCACCGTTCCAAACAGCAGACTTGATCCGAATCCGGCGATGAACAGTAGCTCAATCTGATGTTTGGACATGCCATAGGACTGATACAGAGCGTAGACATGGGGTCCTTGCAGCCAGTCGCCCGCTGAAATCATCGAATATTCAGTACAATGAAATAATATTGGAAGTGAGAAAAGAAAAAGTACAGAGTGCAGCCCAAAATGCTGAATTCGGGCATGAAACTAGTGATTTTCGATACCGTAAAGACACGGTCCGTGGTGCCCAATTAAGCTGACTCACAACCATTGCGCTTTCCTTAAGCCGATGAGCTCCATCTCACAAGGCAAATAGTAGGGAAGCACTATTCGAGAAGGCAAGATGGCTGTAAGACTCCTCCCATGTCCCCACCCATACGTTTATCGCGGACTTTACCCTTAACATATTTTCGAATACTCTGATATTACGCTGAGAGATTGGGGAAGAACTGTAGTTGGGCAAGAGGAAATCCAGCACTTGTCAGAATGGACCCTAGTTGGGCCCTTTGCACTTCTGAATCATTCCCTTGCATTCATTCCAAAACATACGGTAAAAACCTTACCACAGTACTGTATATAGATTGTCAGCAGTAGGAACATTTCCAGCCAAATCTACCATCTCATAAAATTCGGTAAACGAATAGCCCGGTTCCTAAGGAGGGGGTAATAATGAGTACGTAGTGTCCACCCCTTTCATCGGAGCCGCACATATAAAACCCGCATGCTGAAAAATCAGGCGTTAGGACTTACACTCTTAGGACTGGCTAGCACTTTTCGGTCGTGTAAGTTCCGCCTGCCGTCCCATCAAAGTCGACAGGTTGCTTTCAGAACATCCTGGATAGTTTAAGAACCCAGACTGCCTAACTCTGCAGGCCTTTGCACAGGTTCAATGGAGGATGAAGTTCTCGCGATTGATCGATCCGAGTTTTAGAGAGCTGCACCACCTGTACTTTTGTGCGGAGTCGTAGTGACCTTTTGAATGCAATTTTACATACCCAATGTCCTACAGGGTAGTCGACGTACAAGTCTGCGCCCCGTCCTCCAGAAAGGACCTGGTTTACCAACTGAAAAGCACTGCTGGCCGTGTCAAAGGCTTGGCCACAGACCGAGCGTATGGTATACGACACTTGTGCTTGCCACTGCACCACCACCACCCATGAATACGCATCAATTTCCTTGAAGATTTTGATGAGAAGTCGAGTGTGGGGGCCATCTTAAAGGGCTCAACTAATGTCAAAGCATACTCGCCCTTATTGTGTAATAGCTACTGCCCACGATGGAGTTTTTTCTTCCATACAAACAGTAATATCACTAAAGCAATTACACTGGAAGCGCCTATGCCATTTACAACTTTAAATTCCCTGTTGGGATGATATAATTCAGGGTGGATCGAATCGAACGCGGAAATGAGGCCAAACCATGGTATGAATAGGCGATAGGAATCTATGGTCGTATCTCTAGATCAGCGACGGCTCGTTTGCTTCCTAGGGGAGATGGTAAATAAAACTCGATAATTTCAAAAGAGTAAATGAAAATCCATGTTAGGGGAAATAGTAAATAAAACTCGATAGTCTCAAAGGAGTGGATGGAAATCCATGTACCATGTATTTACGGAGGACGATTAACTAAAGGGAGAGTTCACTCTGAGAAATTCCAAGTCTTAATGAAAAGAACGCTAAGGGTTCACATGCAGGTCAGCTCTCTAACGACAAAGTTGCAGGTGCTCCCACAGCAGGGCAGTTACACTTGAAATCCTGAGATGGGGTAGGCGTGGCTGCGTACCTCAGCTGAACGTGGCGGTGGCTGTGCCTCTGGTGGGATGCTTTCAATTTGGGACAACTGTAACCATTCCTTCGTCTAATACAGAACAAGATGGCAGTTCTCTCAAATCGAAATATCCTACGAGTAACCCGTTCTGTGCCATGTCCTGACACCACGCCTACTCCGTCTCAGGGATGAGGAGTGTATGTCTGCTAGTGTGAGCTAAGAGAAGACGTGGTGGACAATATTAATGGCGAGAAAACCTGCACCGTACCAATGTTATTGACGTCATTAACACGTCATTAACATATAATTCTATGTGACGTCAATGACACGTCATTAGTAATCCAAAAGGGAATGTACTAGAACACGTGAGGAATGCGCGACCCCCTCACGACGAGAACACGACCACCGTTCTGCCCACTGGCAAAGACGACGCCCAACTTTCATTTCTAAGGGCTTCTTGGTGGTGTGGTTGCTCCGCTACTAGCTCTATCCATTTCGAACGACGAAGGTGAGATGAAAAAGAGAAAGAGCTGGCAGCAACAAGTGAACTCGTGTGACCATGCCCATTCTTTGCCTTTTGCACGTACAAGCTCGCTCCAGCATGGGGTTCCTGTGGGGCGACTGGGGCGGTTTTTTTCTTGCTTTTTCCTTCATTTGAGCCGCACAACCCTTCATTTTTAATCATGGGGTTGGCCTTGAACAAGTCTCCCTCAATCTGATGCTACTAAACCGCTAGTGGTGTAATATCGGCTTCTCTGTATTCCAGAGTATGGCCTAGAGAATACTCAAGAAGGCAGTCACGGCGTTTCGAGTCCACTCAATGTGCAGTCGGTCCTTGCACAAGGTAGTCTAATTCCGCAATCATAGAGGGGTATCACTTCTGCCGCTCGAAAATACGTGATAAGGACGCTACTCGCTCGCGACGAAGACAATGCCCCACCCAACATGTATTTTCTAGGGGCTCCCCAGTGACGCGGTTGTTCCGCTATCGCCTCTTTCCATTCCGAATGGCAAGAGAGATGGTAAGGGAGAATAGATGGCACCGTCCAGGAGACTGATTTCGTTCGATACTGACAGGGGCTTGGGAGGATTTGGGAAGATACTCGGTAAGATAGGGACAGCGGGTCGTGGACCTACACATTTCACCCATCCCGATGGTTTCACTAGTCATGAATCCAGCAAGGTACCTCACGATGATCGGAGAAAGTTGGTCATTTACCACGACTCTCTCCTCCCCATTTTCGTTGCCTCGCCTCTAGCGCGGCTCCTTTTTTACCTTCGAGTTTGACCTTACTCACGTCCCCGTCCACTTTTCAGGAAGACCCGCTGAGCAGAGTGTGGGAGTGGGAATGGTGCGCATGCTGCACCGAAAACAGTAAAAACTTGCACAAAATTTCCTCTTTCGCAACTTTTCATATGTTTTCGCATCAATACAAAACATTATTTGCAAACCAAATACAATTCCCACCATTGCGGGATTCAAAAAAATTTCAATCAATCCGCTATCGAAAATTCGCTCAACTACCCTTCAAAAGGTGGTAAAAATTGAAAAAAATGGAGAAAAAGTGTGGTGGAAAGTGGAAAATCTCCTAGATAGAATCCCAAGCTGATCCCAGCTGTTACTCGCGTACGGCGAAGAGAGGGCGCCTTATAACGAGCCCTAATGTTGAATGACCAACTTTCGCTGGTCGTTATGACGTTACACGCTGGATTCACGACCAAGGTACATAGTCGTGACGGGCGAAATGATGGTCTCACGCACTATTACGACCCCGTTTCTCCATCCTATTTGAAAACTTCCCAGATTCCCTCAAACCTCTACCATTTTTTTCCGAAAAAAACTTCGAAAATTTGGAGCGCCTATGTTTCACCTATCAGAAATAGCTGTAGTGTAGCAGCTTCGCAGCGCCACCATCCAAGGGTTGGAATATAGCGCTGGTAGAACCGAAAAAAATCGCGGGAAGCCAACAACCGAAAAACCTTCTCATGACTTGAAATAATTTCTCGCAGACTCACATAGGGTTCCACCGACAGAATAAAACCCTCCTCCCGTCCCCAGCGATCCCGACCCTGTGCATCCCCCTTGGGATTCGCCCAACGATGCTGTGCTCTGTACATGAATTACCATTAGATTAGACTAACTCCATTCTCCTACCGACTTCTTCCTTCCCCTTGTCCTGAACCATCTATTGACTCAAAACGCGTACCTATGTACACCCTCGTAGAGGAAAATCAGTGGGCGCTGTTTGGCGACGGGGGGCATTTTGTACTATCATTGCTTCCTCTAGTTCCGGTTTACAAGTCTCACTCTGGCGAAACCTGTGAACTCTTGTGAAGCTGGAGCAAGCTCGTCAAGCCATCATGGTAAAACCTGTCAACTCGAAAAGGCTGTCTAGATAGGTCGACACGTCGATGGGAAGTAGCAAAAGTGCAAAATGCCCCCCCCAACGTCGCCGAACTGCGCCAAATCAGGGTAATGGAGATCAATAACTGTCCCATTTGGGGGTTTCATGAGGGAAATTCGTTGATGGAAGCACCTGCTGTATGTCAAAGCCATTGTAAACATAAGAACAACCCCCGATGGTGAGTCAGCGAAATGCCAGAAGTGACAATCGCATAAAGAACGTGATGACATATGCTTTATGGCATTCAAGGCGACTTTATGTTCCCTCCCCACAAAGAAAAGGTCATAAAAAAAAAATTAGTCAAGGAAAATAGTAGCCAATGATAGCTACCGGACCGGCCATGAGGTAGACGGTGAGGTAGGACTTCTGGAACGATTTGAAGTTCGCATCGTCATTTGACTCGACTTTGGTTCGGGTATAATAATAGAGTACTGCACAGCCGATACTGAGGGACATGTAGAAAGCGCATGAGGAACATGAGCGTACAAGGACGTGTGGCCAGACGCCGCAGTGGACGCACGCCGACCGACCACAGCGCCCCAGCAGAACGCCGCCGTGCCCCGCCCAAACCGCCACGTACACGAGCCAAATGCAAATACCACGATTAGATTGCCCGTTGGAACTGACTATGAGGCAATAAAAAATGCACGTGGATGAGGGGTTCATACAGGGAATTTCGTGGAATTTACTGTAGAAGTACATGTGAAAAACCGCTCACAAAAAGAACTGGGGTCTAATCTTGCGATCTAGGATCTATTAGATCGCAACCCAGTCCAACAGTTCTGGGCTATTTCGGACTTAGATGGATTTTTCAACGCGGTGCCACATGAAAAAAAATGCGTTCTAAAGGCCGCGTGAAAAAACTTCTTTAAAACTTGTTCTGTCGTGAGATTCCAGCATAATCTTACATCTTGGCTTTTTGATTGCCAGAAATATTCCACCCCCTAA